AGCGTTTCCCTTTAAAAAAAAAAAAAAAGCCTTGACTGGAGACGGGATAAGCCCTGTGTCTCCTATTAGCAACTAGACCAGATGGTGGGTTAACTCTTGATAAAGCCATGAAGGGAAAAGGAATACTGTTTATTTTAATGAGAAATACCTTCTTTGTTGGTTTTTTCTTTACTTTTTTACACCAGATTACTCTCCTTGAAGATTTTAAAATTTTATCATCCAATTGACTCAATTTAAAATGTATTTTGTTGAGATTTTAATGTTACATAACAATGCAGAAAGGAAATAATTGGGAAAGAGGACAATACAAATTTCTAGCTCTTCTAAAAAGTGTAGATGAGTCTTACTGTAAATCTATTTTTTTTTCTGAGGCTTCAGAGGTTAGCTATGGAACATCAACAAAGATCAATATAGTAAAAATCAGATAAACAAGGGATGGAGTAGAGTAAGACATTGAGATAAAAAAAAAAGAATCCCACATTGCTATCTGAACCTTGCAGCCCACTGCTCCAAAAAGGGATGGGTCAAATGCAGAGGCGAGTTTCTTCAGTGTGAGTTTAATAAAGTTAATAGAGTTAATACTGGGAGAAGTGATTATTAACCAGTTTGAGTAGGCCTGGGGGGAGCAGAACTCTGATAGGAGAAACAATTCAATTCAGTCAATTTATATAGACTATTTATATAGTCAAATTGGTTCAAAGTTTTCTATCCAAGGAAAACCAGCTGATTGCATCGCCCCATTGACCTAAATGCATTCCCTCACACCAAGCATGCTTGTAGTGACAGCGAAGAGAAAAAACTCCCTTTTAACAGGAAGTAACCTCCAGCAGAACTAAACTCGGAGTTTAAACTCGGAGTTTACACTACCCTTTTTTCAAGGGTAGTGTAAATGGGGTAAAAAGGAACCTGTCAACCAGCTCCACAGGTGGCCCCGTCCAAGAAATGTACAGCCAGGCAGATGAGCTCCGAGACAGCTCCCATGTCAGAGGATGAAAGAGAGCCCATCCAGTTAGTCACAGTCAGAGAAACAGGACTACACTGAAAAACAGGCCAAGCTATCTATAAACAAAGGTGTTGATGGCAGAATGATGAAAAGGTGTCCCTATGTCCTCCAGCGGTCTGAGCGTGTAGCAGCATAACAAGGGAGATTGCTCTGGATAACCTGAGCCACTCTAACTATAATATTGATCAAAAAGTAAAGTTTTAAGCTTAATCTAGAAAGTAGACAGAATGTCTGCCTCACAGACTAAAAAATCTTATTTTAAGAATCTCATCATGAAAGTCAGTGGTGGAAATTTCCTGGTCTGGCGGTTCCTTTTCTAACATTGACATAATGGAGCTGAATATAACACAGTGCTGATTGGTTGGTTTACAACGAACGAAGCTGCTGAGCAAAGACACTTCATGGCAACAAGCACTCACGCACTGAAACATCAAATTGTTGATATAGTAGAGTGACCAGACATCCCCTTTCTCCTAGACATGTCCTACTTTTCGCCACGACTTATAAGTAACTTATAAGTAACTTACACTTAACGTATGTCAACAATCAGATAACTTACCTGTAACTTATGCCCCACATATGCACATACGCTGGCATACATAATGACTGATATCACCATGTTTCACTGAATTTGTAACTTTCACATATTTCTCATAATGATGCCATGATCAAAAGTAGTCCCCATCATTAGTATAAGAGCCTTTTATCATCTCTTTAGAAAACTAAAGCCTCATATTGCAAACTTAAACACCAGTGCAGCTCTATAAACTCTTCGCTTGTTTTCCCCCATGGGTGAAGTTTCAGCAAACATAAAACCTTTCCATCTGTTTTCCTCTTTTTTTTACCTTATCAGCATCGAAGCAGCTGTGGCTGCTTTCGCCCAGGCTCGGGCTCCTGGGATCTATAAGGGAGACTACCTCAAAGAGCTTTTCTGTCGCTATGGAGACGAAGAGGACGCACCCTCTGCCCCCCCACTGCCTGAGTGGTGCTTTGACGACGACGATGGGGAGGTGGATGACGACGGGAACGCAGTCAGTCAAGAATCGGGCCCCAGCTCTTCAGGGTCGGCGCCGAACAAAAGAAAGAAGGAGAAGCTGAAGCTGGTGAGAGACTCTGGATTAATGATTGTGTTGACATGACACACATAGTCTGCTATATATAATAATAAAGTACATGTTATAATCTTATATTCACTGCTGCCAGATATTTGTCATACAAAAAAAAAAGTTAAAAAACAATCCACTGGACTTGGTTTCCATCTTTGAAGACATTTTGTCCAAAGCAAAGGAGAATAACGAGTATTTTTCACCTTTATTGCACCCAGATTGAACCCAGATTGAAAAGCTGAGTCAAGGCGAACCTAATAGCTGAGAATATGATACTCCACACAGATCTGGAGTAGAGCTACAGCTCTTAGAGCCGTTACTGCACCATTCGACTGTCATTAAGGACTACTGTCTCTCAGCTGAGAGGCCTGTCTCGTCAGTTAGACCAGTCTTTGGCTGCCTGGCTGTTGGAAGAGTTTCTGTGGAAATATTTTACGTTTGCATAGCACTTGGACTAATAAAGCTGTTTTAAATGACTAAACCTGCACCTGCATCCTGTATGGGGGTTTTAAAGGTTTTCATTTTCATCGTGGACCCCCAGAACTCACTTCTATGTTGAACTCTTTAGCCCTGATCTCAGGAGATCAGCCACAGTTTCTCGTGGAAAGGATTTCTCACCCTTCACCAGGTCAGAGACATTAGAGGTGAGGGAGAAATTAGATCCCTTTTCTCACTTGTGTGCACTCTGCCGTAACAAAGCATTTAAGAGGAAGCTGAAATGTATCGCTGATGGTAAATTGCTCAAGGCCAAGCCATTACCCAGTATTATCATGATCAACTTTTAATGGTATCATGATGTGATGATATAGTCCCTCTATGGGCAGGTTTATTTTTGAACAAGTGGTAGAGCCTATAGATAAAGTCACTTATGTGATAAACTAAATATTTTCTCTCTTATCTAAATGAAAATGTAGTATTAAAAACGATGAATAATGATTTTTATGTTCTGAAGTTTACAAAGACTGGATCCAAATGTTGTTGTTATATAAGCATTTAATTGGTTTACGCATAACTCTTCAGTTGAACTCTTGCATTAGCATATATTGATATTTGAGCTAATCCTTGCTGATTTAATTTAACTGAAAGTTGTTTTTTATCTATATTTTGAAATTGTTTCAAAACAAAATAACATTTAGACTCTTTATGTGAGAAGATAACGAATAATAATTTTAAGACATATAGAAAATGGATTTCTTAATAGGATCAATTTGTAAAGTTAGTTTTTGTCTAAAACTCAATCCCAAACACGACTTTATACCATTTTAGGATAAAGGATTTTCTAAGCAACTACATTTCTCTGAATAAATGTACTAATGTGTTGGATTTTTCTATTATTAGGATACTTATTTGTAGCAATGGGATTAGATTTAGTTTGTACTGACAATCAAACATCCTGAATTGTTCATCCTGAATCTATTACAATTAGATTAGTTTGAAAACCTTCACTTCCCTGGGAAAATAGTTTGTCACGGATGCCACTTTGAGGGGAAGCTACGAGTGTGAGAGGGAGTTTATTGTGGAAATATAATTAAGCTCCAATAAAGCTATTTCCTATTCATGTTGTTTTTATAATTCTTTATTTAGAATAAGGCTGAAGTATTTATATAATATTGTTTTTCACCAATTTCAATAACATTTTAGTTTGGATGTTTGATCCTTGCTAATACTAAGGATGCAAATTGGTGTTTGAAAGAAATACAATTTATAATATATTTTAATTGTATAAATAATTCCAGCCAATGTCATCTGTACATTGTCTGCAAATTTTTAGTACCTAGTTCTCAACTAAGTACTGAAAAAAATCTTTAGAGGTCTTTTTGGAGATTTCATTGCTAAACTTTGACAATTTTAGTCAAGTAAAGGTGAACTTTATTTCTAATCATTAAAATATACTTCATAAAATAGACTGAGCTCTGCAGGAATACACCGATTGATCCCCATATGATTGCAGTCGGCCGATAGTTCTCTTATTGGTATTGATTGGAGTTATAGAAATGGATCAAGGCAGGCAGATCAGGTGACGTTGATCACAACAAACCTCCCCCAGGGCATCCATTCCCACTTCTCAGACCCAGGTCCTCCATTTCTTATTTTTATTTTAACAGTAAATGTCTTATTCCTAAGAAAATAAGGTTAATAGTTTACAAGTAGTATCAAATGGTACATTCAAACTGAATGCAAAACCTGTGAAAATCTCACCAGTTTTGTGTCCTTTACTTTGTCTTAAAAAATTTGCCTGGCAAACAAAAGCAATTCATATGACAGGCGAAAGGCTGCACTACATCTTTCAGCCTACTTGTTGGTGGCTTCCCTTCAACATGGTGGCCATGGATTTACAGATGCTGTGCTTTTTATTTACTTTTGAAAGCCGGAAAAAGATGTCAGCAAATGTAGGTTCACTAGATTCCCGGAGACGGAACCATAATGGAAAATGCAGAAGCTATGTGTGGATGAGGGTCGATTTTTAGCAGTGCTTCCACCTATCCATGACCCAGTCTGGGGCCTTGTCCTCATGCGTTGTGGGAAATCGGAGGAGCACAGTGGTATAGGGAGAAGCCCACTGGATGCTAGCCTCTTAGCAGTACATTGGAGAAGCATGTCGGGCAGACAGAGTGGGAGAGAAGGCAATGGTTGGCTGCAGTCTGTGCCAGAGGTAGAACAACGAAATGGTCCTTCTTTGGCTAAATTAACACAGCTTTTTAAAAGCCATCTTAAGGGCATTCTTCTCTTCATTCTTTGTCAGCATTATTTTCTCTACCTTCAGTTTTGATTAAATAAAGCTCGTCTCCGCTGCCTCCTTTATTAAAACCTTTGTCAATTTTTACACTTTCTCATTTCCTAATTCTCATACTTAATAATACAATTAAAATATAGATGACACAACAGAATAGAAGAATTTACGGATTTGATGCTGTGATCGGCAGATACCGATTTTGGTGATTGGTGATCGGCAATGACATCGGCTCCCACAGTCTTCTAGGTCTCTAGTAAAAAACAAGAGTCTGGAAAAGTAGCGTATCGTACATGATATCTGTGAACAAGCAGAGTTGAAATAAATTGATGTATTTTGAAATTTCCACAATAAATGAGATGTATGGTGTTATTACCGGTCCCTTTTCTTTTCTTTTCAACTGCAGCTTCTTGTTTAAAAGCTGATTCACTTATCTTTGAGAAGGCTTACTATTGTGCTTCATCCATTTCTGTTTAAGCTTCTTTTCACTTTCGTATCATAACAGTTAGCATGACTTATCTGCTCTGAACTAGTATAAGAGGGGAGAGAACAAAGCTTTCAGAGGAAACTGTGAAATAAGCTGTGTATAGCATTAGAAGAGGGTTGAAATAGTTGTAAGGGCGAGTAACAAGTTTCCTGGCAAATGCTTTAAATAATTAATGTGTGAATGTTTTTTGCTCACAAATAAAAAGGGGGATTTTTCTTTATATCTCTCTGCTTGGTTTTGTTTGCAGCCAGCCACTCATAAGTAATGAAACAGCTGTTTTGTATCACCCTGTGTAGGAGGATGAGAATGTTTATTTTAAACTCCAAATCTTTTAATTTTCCTTTTGTTTTATTTGTTTCTCCTTCCAGGGTGCGGTATTTCTTGAAGGGATCTCTGTGAAAGGGGTCACACAGGTCACAACCCAACCCAAGTTAGGCGAAATCCAAAGAATGTGTCAGGAGATGACCGAGTGGGACAGGTAAGGCGCTCCCTTAATCGAACTCTCCTTTGGGAAACTGTGTTTGCATATGTGGGTGTAACATAGCTGGGAGTGACTCATGCAGCTCAACTTTTTTTTTTTTTTTTTTGTCCTTGTTTTCTTTTTGGAACATTTTCACACTTGTATTCAGATAGAAATAGATTTTTATACTTTAAGGAAATATGCCATTGCAGCCTCTTCCTTGACAATTGCAGCCAGTAAGCCCTGCTGAGATTTCTCATTACAGCAAAGAGAACAATGCAAACTGTAATTTTCTCTTTCTGCTTTTAAATAATTTATTTGATTTCTACCTTCCAATTTTTGGTTTAACTAGGCAATCTCAATAAACTGATGTAGAAAGTATTTTTTAAAGGCTTCTAAAGAGAATTATCTGGAGGTATTTTATGTATAAAACTAAAATATATAGTTTCTGTTGTTAACCTTTACCATTTATCTTTGTAGTATTTTACTGAAACTTTGGGTTTTTTGAACAAAAACCTAAAATAATTGATACTCAGCCCTGAAAACTAATTAGTGATGTAAAAACATAAAAAAAAATGTTTTTAGCTCTGAACAAGGTTTATTGAGTACGGAAGCCGGGAGTTTTTTTTTCTTCCTTTTTCTTCAGGAGATAATGACATAACTATCTCATTATCATGGTTAAACCATTAATTGTTTTCTCGGGTTAAAAAGATAATTAATTTGTTATCATGAGATAACAGTTATTGATTTCTTGAGATAACGAGATGATTAACCTTAGGAGTAATGAATGAGGCTGACCAACAACCCCGGATTCCCAGTCCTTCCATGCCTGTAGTGCCCGTAGTTGTGCAGTCGCGGTACCGCGTGTGCAGAAATAATCAGTTTAGTAGTAGTTTTTGAGTTTTTACTGCACTAGTGGCTCGTTTTTCCTGACTGTAAGCTGACAGGAAAAGGGGTATGAGAGAGGGGGAGAGACATGAGGCAAAGGATCACAGGCCGGATGCGAACCCGGTTTAGCCGTGTCAAGGACTAAGGCCTCCATACATCGGCCGTGCGCACTAACCACTGCGCCACCTGCACGCCCAAAAACAGACTGTTTTTTAATGAAAATCTTAATCTGAACTCATTTTGGGGGTTAATGCATCTTAAACCTGTTACAGGCGTAACACCGGGCAGTTCAGAAAACACCTGTTGCTAGGGCGCCGACGACATAGGTGTACTTTCTTATGAATCAGAAGCGGAAACAAATCATCAAACCAACGTCATCTCATTACCAAAAGTTAAACACAGGATGTTTCTGAATGTTTTATAAAACGGGGTTTAAAAAAAAAAACGCTGAATATTGAAAATTGTAAATCATATACCACTCTTATGTTTACATTTGATCCTCCTGTTTATGTTTTATCACTGCTGCACTTTAGAAATGGAAATGTCTTGAGAGCAGTACTGAACGAAATTTCTTTTTGTATACACTCTGTGTACAAAATGAAAATAAAGTCTGTGTAAGTCTAAGGATTATTTACAGAATTACACATAGGCTGCCATGACTTATACTTATAAATCCTTTCCCGCTGTTGTGGTATTGAAGGATGTAATCAGTTTTAACACACACCAATCCTCTCTTTGTGATGAGAAAAAGGCTTTTCTTGTCTTTAGATAATGAGAAAATTATCAATGTGTATTAAAACTGATTACATCCTTCACTACCACAACAGCGGGAAAAGATTTATAAACATAAGTGATGGCAGCCTATGTGTAATTCTGTAAATAAATGATCATCTCCTTACGATGAGAAAACGGCTTTCATTGTGTTTAGATAATGAGAAAATTAATTCACTTTCCTGAGAAAAAGACAGTGAAAAAGTATCGAAGGGACACGACATCTCTCAGCTCCATAATGGAGATACCTCTTGTTGTCATCTACCAATCTCATATTTGAATATTCTCCATGCAGAAATATTTTAGCTGCTTTTCTCTAAATAACTTTTTTTCTATAAATAGCATAAAAATTAATATGTTAATTTTACAAAACAATTTTTTTAAAGCTTATACAAGCTTTGAATGCGCCATTTTAAGATTTTTAATTTCCTAACTGTCAGCAAGTCCTTATTTGATTTGCTAATATTAAATATTGTAGGCTCCATTAGGCTCAAATTTTCTTTAAGCACCCATTAATCAATAGAAGAAATCATAGTGAATTCTTAGGTTCTGGTGCATAAAAGCCAAACCATGACATATTTATCTGAGATAAGGTTTTTGTTTATGTAACATGTTTTTAAACCAGAAATGACAATTAACTTGCTGTCATTTAAAACACAGTCATCAGATCAGGTTTGTATTTTTTGTTTGTTTTTCGTTTTTTTATTGTTGTTAAAACTGATACTAAATATCCATTAATCCAAATATATTAGAAAAGCAAACAGGATCTTGTGATCCTATTTTTTCCATTTCTTTTGCAATTTAAATGCACATCTTAGCCTCAGTGTCATTATTTTGTGTTTTTTTTCAAATAGTCAACTTGCATAATAATGTATTATTTTTACTGTCTGCTATAGCATTTGAAGTTTTGAGCTTGAAACCCCATCATTGTGTTGCTTTTACTTGAGGTACAAAGATGCATTATTTACCGCATAGTTTTTTTTAAGAGTCTATGTAACAGGGCTGGGTTGAAAAAATGTTTTTTTATTTTATAGAATTATGATGAAATATTTTATTTAGCTTTAGCCTAATCATAATTAGCATGATCAACCAGGCATGTATAAAATATGTTTTTGTGTTACAGGTCTGGATTTCCTGGTGCGCAGCCTGTGTCCATGGATCGGCAAAACCTTCGTTTTCTTGAGCAGAATCCTTATAAAGTCAGCTGGAAAGCTGATGGTACACGGTGAGTATTATTTGTTTAACAGCACATGCCAGTGCAGGTGTTATTCTTTGTCCCTCTTACTAGAAAAAAAAACTGTCTCTCATTGATTCAGCTTGTTCAGAGTCAATGGAAACACATTGAGTTTATGTCTTCAAGTAGAGCTGCACAGTGTTCATTTTAATTCTCCATCCTGTGAACAATGTAAAGTGCTTTTCTTTCTTTTAGATTGACTTTTTTTCTCTTTCTTCTTTGTCACCTGTAATTAAATCAGGTTTCAGCAGACAAAGAAAACCTGAGAAGATACAAACTACAATTTTCAAATAATTAGTTCTAATAAGGGAAGAAGAAAAAAATATTCAAACCAATCAGGCCCTATGTGACAAAATGATCATCCTCTAAACCTTATAACTGCTTTTGTTATCAGCAGCAACATCTACCATCAAATGTGTGGGATTACAGTCAATGAACTACTCTTTTACTAAATTCTCTAGATTTTTCCACATTTGAAGGTTTAGAATCATAGATATTCTTTTTAAGGCCATGCCATAACCTGATATTATATTTAAGTCTGGCCTTTGACTAGGCCACTGCAAAATGTCAGTTTTTAAGCTTTCCAGAGGTGTACTTGCTGAAAACAGAATCTGGATTTTAGAAATTTAGTAAAGCTGTTCAAGTCCTGATGCAGCAAATCAGGACTGTATTTATCACACTACGGTACTATCACCATATTTGACTGTTTGGATAAGGCTCTTTTCCTGAAATGCATTTTTACTTTTATACAAAATAACCAAATTACTACTTTCCAAAAAAAAAATCCACTTTTATCTGCTCAGGTCTCTGAATATTTGCCCACAGGTCCTTTTTTTCCTGTGAAATATGAGGTCAGCCTTTATGTTCTTTGTGGTCTGTGGGGATTTTAGCTCTGTCTGGTCTGTTTGTTATTGTTTTATTATGAACAATGAATAAAATGATGTAAACAAGGCCTGTAGTGTTTAGATTTGCTGCATAGTTCTCTTGTGACCTTCTGAATCAGGTGTCGATGAACGCTTTGGGCAATTTTCGTTAGCCAGCCTCTCATGGGAGGATCCACCACTGTTTTATTTTTTTAATTTGTGGATATAGGCTCTCGGGGTTTACTGGATCTTCAAACTATGGAGAGACCTTTGTTACCGACTGCAGACTGATACATCTCAGCAAATTTGACTCATAATTTCTTAATTCTCTTTAGTTTAGGGAATATTGCTTCTTTAGAACATTTAAACTAACTCATGCAGTCAGACAGTTTCTATTTAGGGGATCTCCTGAGTTTTCAGGTCTTGCAGGAATCAAGTCTTAATATACTTACTTTTTTCATTTATTTAAATTTATTCTGACATATTAAACATTGAGAAAAAAGAAAAACAAGCAGAACAAAGAAAACACACCATATTCATGTCTGAAATGGAATAGGCTAAAGCCTAAACTTATTTCTCTTACCTCTCAAAGAGTAAATCATAAATCAAACAAAATGGCAACACTGCTGTAAATATATGGAGAATGGAATAAAAATTAGAGTTCCAAAAAAATGCTGGAACTTCATTACTTCATATAAGTTTTATTTTGTATGCTAGTTTTTGAGTGTTAAGTGAAGCCATAATTGCAATGCTATTGTAGTAACTCAGATTATCCCTCTCTAAGTTTCAAATTTATATTATCTAAAACATGAAATGGAACAAAAAAAAAAACTGACTAAACAGATGTTTGTTTACATTGCATTACCTTGAAGATTTTGCAAAATGAAATGGAGAGAAAGGCAACATTTGACCAAATATCTTTCAGAAACTCACAGTGACCTTAATTAATCTGAACTTAAAGCAATGATTATATGTTATTTTTATAATCAAAATTTTATACCTAACTGCACCAGTTTTGCCTGAAGAATGTAAGCTTAAACAAGCAGGCCCACTCTTTTGGGAGGAAAGCCAGGCTCTGTAAGGATAATACTACTAGAAGGTCCTTAAGGTATGACTGAGCTTAGTCATTAAGAACTTTGTTTGTAAAGGAGCTCTGAAAGGAAACCCAACATGACTTGTGCTCCCTCATTAAGTTTTAATTACAGAATATAGCTAATCAAACAGAGTGCTCAGTGAGTAGCAGTGGAGAATGGAGATGTGCAAATTAGCTGCTCTGATGCATAAACCCAGACTGATAGGAACGACTTCGTCCAGTCTGTTATCCGTGAAGCCTGAGAAATGCATCAGGTCACTTGTTCTTTCCCGTCACGTTTTGCTGTGAATTTGTTGTTTTCTTTTGTTTCATGTCTCTCTTGTGCTCGAGGCCACTGCTGCAAGGGAAGAGAGACGTTTTAGTATTCTGCTAGTCTGCTGTGAAGCACTGCCTCTCTGGCTGGTGCAAATGCGCTGTGTGCAGATGAATATTTAATGACTGCAGTCAATTTCAGAATTTTACATATCGACGCTTTAATTTCCTGTAAGAGTGAGACTCTGAGGGAAAAGATTTTGGCTCTTGACCAGGACATTACTAATGTGTATAATTAGTGGCTGTTATCTGGAACTGCTTAAGAATGCAGCGAAAAGTTTAGCTGTTGAATTTTAACAATGACTTTGAGCTCTTCGTCTGCTTACCTTAACTCTCGACATGGAAAATGTTTTACCTCCAGCAGCTGGGTTTTAAAGGGTAGCGGTGCTGTATGTGATTTCATCTGTTCTGATGCAGGAAAGAGGCACGTCATTTTGTGAGTGACTCATCCAGGCTCAGAATATACCATATGCCGATACTTCTTCCCTCTACACTTTGTTCGTTTTTTAGTTTGTATTCATGTTTCCAGGAATGTAAATATATCCATATGGATGTTTTATTTAAAAGTTTTTATTGTACTATAAACTTAATTATTATTATTATTATTATTATCATGCACCAGAATTAAATTTAGTTTTGCTCTTTAATCATGTCTATAAACCAACCTGCCAAATGAATAAAATGAAGCCCCAATCATTAGTTTAGCATTTGTCCAATACAAAACGGTCTCATTGGAGCACCTTTTATGAGAAAAAGAAAATCCCTTTAGACAGTTTTTTTTTTTTAACCATGTAATTATACCGGCTTTAGCATAAAAAAACAACTGTTTACTAACTGCATATATTGTATTATTTAGAACTTTGTTGTGTATATTTTTTTAAACATTTTTTCATGCATTTAAAATTAGTTTTAAAATGAGGACAGTCTTCATATTAATACATGCTGATCCCTTGCAGTTTAAAATGTGTGGCGAATCAAAACCTCAGAGTCTATTCAGCATCTTTTGAAAATCCTTTCTGTGCTCTTTTTTTTTTTTTTTTGCTGGTTCATCGGTAGTCCCAGTTTTCTCCTTTAAACTGCTCATGCATGGCACTTTATCAGCAAAAACGATCAAGTAGGAGAGGACAGTTATTTAGTTTTTTTTTATCATGATAAGAATTACGATTTATCTTAATGATTTTATATTCAGTCGATCATGTTTGCAAAGTTTTAAATCAATAGTGTTGGAATTGCTTTTTTCCTTTTTTTTTAATAACTTATCTTTATTGCATGAGAGAATCAACAAACACCCACGTGCTGGAAAATATAACAAGGTGCAAGTAATATACGCTGTTTAATGCTGCAAGAAGAACATTTTAAGAGCAGTATTTGTTTTCATTTTAATATGTAATCAAATTTAAATCCTTAATTTATTGACAGTCTGGCTGCATTCCTACACATCTCATTCACATCTGCCCATATCTCTTTTCCCAGCTGTTGTTTGGCTCATACAACACTCTAGGATCAGAGGATGTGCACGTGTATGGTGAAATAAAACTCCAAAGCATCAGCTTTGTTGAACCTACCTTACCTGCTATGGATATCATCGCTTGGTTTTGTTGTTGATGTGTTTGAGTCATTCTTTCAATGAAATATCTTAGTCATTTTATAAACAATGAGAGCTCCATAAACCAAAACAAAACCAAAATTGTTCTCGAATATTAATGGTTGCACATCATTTGTGGGTAAAAGATGCATTAACCTTTAGCATTATCTTCTTCTGGCTTCTGGCACAAAGCATGGTTCAAAGTATTTCCTTTTACACAGTCAATATTGCTTTGTCAGAGTAATTTTTTTCTTTGATTCAATGGTTTATGGTGCAGCGAATATAAAGTAATTTCTTAATCATAAAATGTCTCATGCACCTCAAGTTATTTATATAGCACATACTCACAATAGGTCATACAGACAGATTGGTTTAAAGCAGGGGTCGGCAACCGGCTCTTTAGCGCTCCCCTTGCGGCTCCCTCGAGCTTTTTCAAAAATTTCTGAAAATCGAGTTTTTTTTTCTTTTTTCTTTTGTTTTAATATGGTGTGCAGGAGGTCAAACAAAAAATAATTATGTTTTCCAATGCTGTAAACATTTGTATAATAAATAAATTTAAACAATAATGTGCGTCATAGCCATAGAGATCAGTGGTCATAACTTGCAACCAGCGCTGCGCGGTGCCAGACTGCTGGAGTGTCTCGGACCATGGATCCCAAAGGGGAAAAAAGGAAGATAGCTGATGAGAAAAGAGGATTCAAAGAATGGACCGATTCATTTGCTTTCATTATCAATGCGAAATGATTGCCGGCATTTTTGCTTGGTAATGAGAGGTTGGCTAAAAATAAAAATTTGGAAAGGCATTTCCATGGAAGGCAAGCTAAATATGCAGCCAACAACCAAGCTGGGAGAGAGAGATAAATAGTGATTGCAGAACTTCTGGATAAATTAGAGGAGAGCAAATGTAGATTTAAGAAGTGGATTACATCTCCAAACTCCACTACTGCTGCTAGTTTTGTAAGGATGGAAAACCGTCCACAGATCCAACAGGTTGAGCGCTGATGCAGGGATGGAAACTGTCTTACATTTTTTCCCCAAATCCTAAAAATATCACACCAAGGAACGCTGGGATGTGGGATTTCAGGGTTAGAGAGCTCTGCTCTGATGGTTGTCAGTTCCTGCTTGGTTCCTCATAACT